ACAGTATATATATACATATATATATATATATATATTAAATATCGTACATTATTTATTATAAAGTATAATGTAATATCATCACTTTGGAATTTTATGTTGTTTTATTCGGAAGATCTGATAGATTAAATACAATACAACATTATTATCATTATTATCATATCAACTTAATGATCATCTTTGCCACAACCTTATCATCGATATCATTATTATTGATATGAAGAATATCAATATAAAATAATTATTCATAAAATAATTTTATTACTAATAAGTGTTTTATTATTTTAATATTATGTAGAAATATTACGTATGGTTATTTTATTATTTGCTTATATAATGCATATGTTTATTAGTTTTACTCTATTTATACGGTGTTGTGGAGTCCGAGCTTGAAAGTTTAAATTTAAAGTTATTTTCATGTTTTTAGAGCTGTCTTAAAAATATGTATTCCATTGTTTGTGCAACGTTGTTTATTGCTGATTATAATCATTCATTTTGCAGTCTCTTAAGTGAATAATGAAGTAAAAACGTATAACGCAACTAGCATTACTAATATTTACTTTACAATTTGATTTGTTATTACTAACGTATCGGTTTGTTTCATTAAGTATTTATTTTATTATTTTAATACATCTCTACGCTGCAACTTGTAAATGTGTACAAATATTTATTTTATTTTTAAACACATCTCGATCCCATCGCCTGTACATAAAACACGTGTTTGTTACCCTTGGAAATAAATACAATTTAAATTGCCATGCATTTTATCGATTATGTTTACGTTTTTTAATCGATTTCATGACAATACGTTTCACTAAGATATTATTTTTATCTCCAAAGGGAAATGTTCTTCATTGCAGTTAACCCAGTCAATATGGTTGTATAATAAAGTTGTGACGTCATGCTATGGTTACGTTTTCCAACGATTTGTTTCTATGTCAATATTAACATTGTTCTTTCCATTATGTTAATGTTATCAAATGTGATTAAAATAAATGTGTGTTTATGTTTTTGTTCAGGTTGAAATATTACGACGAAAATTGAAAAAAGAAATTGACGAGGAAACATCCGATGACATTAAGAAGAAGGTTTGCAAATTATTTTAAAAACTCACTTCTTGTTAATTTGTTATTGTACATGGGTGATTACTATGCCCTGGTGTTTAGTATACTTACCTTTTAACTTTACGGTCATGCTACCTGTAAATGTCAGAGGTTTCCTATTGAAGACGGGAATTTGTAAAGCACATCATATGAACTAGCTTCTCAGCCGCAGTATGATATTTATTAGTTTTCTAAACAAAGATAGGTTTAAATGATATAAACTTTATTTTCTTTCTTACTCTTTATAGTAATCGCTATTATTGTTATGATAAGATAAACATTGTTATTATATTACTAACGATGATATACCGTATTCTGTAGACGCGCATGCTCAAGAGTACTCGAAGTTTGTCAGAGCAAGGTATCATGTATAGGCATATAATTTCCAATATATACATGATATACTGAGGCATGTATATATACACATCTAGATGTGTATAAGAGACAGATATATGGTGCAACTCTAAATAAATAAATAAATATATATATATATATATATATATATATGTATATATATATTATGAACAATTACAATTAATAACATTATGAACAATTGCATTATTTGTTATTGCAGATTCGTCGACTCACATCATCAACAACATCCGAGGATGAAGATGGGGAATATGACATGTCGCGGTTAATAAACGATCTTCAGAATGCGTCTGAACGTGAAAAAGACCTTCAAAATCAATTGCAACTTGCCGAGGAAGAGGCAAATTCCGTCCGTAAGACCATCACCACACTCGAACTCGATAAAGACGCTATAGAATTTGAACTCGAGCGCTTCAAGATGCGCTTCGGAACGCTTGACGAACCAAAGCGTATCGACAACGACAGAGGCGTGAGTACGGAGCGAGAGGCGGAAATGCGCTTACAGCTCATGGTTGCCGAGCAGGAAGCTACGGTAATGAGGAAAAAAATACTGGAACTTGAAACCAAAAATGAAGAACTTGAAAATAGCAAAGGAAAGGAAAAAGGTAATTTAAAAATTGAACTTTATATTGTGAGGGTACTCCGTGGGATATGGAATATGAAATAGTCGGCCTAATTACTTTCATTTTTACTTGATAGCATTTCTAAAACAGGCCGGTAGGGGATTGCTATGCCCTCCTGCTTGCAGATATAATGGACAGTGATAACGTAAATAGACTTCATGCTTTCTTCGTTAAATATATTTTGTCTGTAATCACATCTGGAGGAAACCTAAAATATTTGTTAAAAATTAATTGG